CTTTGAAATACATGGTTTATGTCTCTATGTTTTATTTGGAGTCTTGAGCTTTCAAATTGGCAATTTGGACATTGTTTGCAAGTTTTGATTGTGTTTCATGGTCAAGGCTCAAAGTCAAGCAAGTTTATATGGGTTTTGGGGAGGAAAACTCCATGCATTTTAAAGAATTGGAGCTCAATTTGTATTAGTTATGAACATGTGTTTACAGTTCAAGAATTTGAACTCCTTGCATGGTTTTGAAGCTTCAATTGAAGTTATGAATTTTGTTCCAAGCTAAATATGTTTAATTCAAGGTGTTATGTCAAGTTTTTGGAAGTGAAATGCATGAAAATGGGGTTGATTTTGTAAAGGAATGTATTGCCGAAAAGAAGAGCATTTTCGGACTGTTTTTGTAACAACATCGCACGTGTGGCTTGGGGCCCCGCACGTGCAGAAAATAGAGAAGCCAAGGCAAGCATTCTACTTAAATTGCACCTGCAGAAGGCACGTGTGGTGAATGTTCCACACGTGTGGCCTGTGTAGGGGGCAGGTTGGTCCCGGTTTTGTTTCCACTCCTCTTTTCTACCTTTTGAGCCTCTGTTTGCAAGTTTTAAAAGTGTTTTTCATGTGCATTTGCATCTCATGATCATGGATGAATTAAAGAACAAAACTTTAACTAGACAAATGAGCAACGATTAGAAACTGAGAAAATGAACATCGAATAGAAACCAAATAAGTAACGAACGAGGAGAACTAATTGAATGAATGAATTGTGGATTGAATCGTTGTGCTTGAATTTGTTTGTTTAAGTAGGACACCGCATCTTTAGTGCCTTATAGCACGTGTTTCAAGGAGCCCACTATGAGTAACAATGTTGTAAAGATATGTTCAATTGTAACTATTTTCTGATCGTTTAAATGTACTGTTTTATGAAATGATATTATTTATTGAATGAATGATTGTCCTATTTTGTAAACTATACTCGTGGCATCCATAGCAACAATTACTACTATTGTTATTGTTGCTATTACTGCTACTGCTATTGTCACAGAGATCTCTGTCAATTTCAATCTCTGGAATTACTGTTACTGTATCGATGGCCATCAACTGACAGTTCAGTCTTTAAGACCTACTATATTGTTCTGCCCTTTGATGTACCACGTATGATTGCTATGATTACTATATGACAGTTATGACATGAAATATGAGACATTGATTGAATAAATGATCTACTGATGCAAATGACTGTTTAAATACTATAAGAACATTCATTCTTAACCCCTTTACACATTTGTTATTCACTGGGCATTAGCTCACAGTTTATTATATATGTAGGTGGTCAGGCATCGGAGCAAAGTTAGCAGCGTCAACCTAATTCCATTTTGTCAAGCCAACCTATTGTGCCTTACCGCGAGGTTCCAAGCTGTTAATGTCAAGGCTTTTTGGGTGATTTAAATCCACCCTTTTTGAATGTTATATGTAGTCAAGTGAATATTTTATGACTTTTGTTAATACTATTTTTGATAATGGTATTTCATTCCCTAACTTGTGTCTTGTCTTGTATATATGTGTTTTATGGACATAAGTGTTTGCGTATATAACTAAGTATATTAATGTTTTCTTTTCATTCAGGTCCTCACAGCTCATTTGACGATGTATGTTAATATTGATTGGCTTCCACCAACCCCTTTATATTGTATTATTGTCTTTATTGTTGAGCAGGCCTTTGGTAATCATGGATTACTGGCCGGTTATGATACTGAACTCATAGGGGTGGGTTTGGGTCATGACAGAGTGGTATCAAAGCACGAGTTATACCGCACACATGTGTCCAAATGAGCTATAAGATGTCCTAGGAAAGAAATTAGGCATTGCATGAGCATAAATGAGTGTGTGTGGACATGTTATGTGTATATGTGCTAACATGAATAAGTCAACCATCCTTAGTATGTTTATTATTACCATGTTTTATATAGTTACTACAACAAAACTAACTTTTTACGACACCACATCAACGATATATAATAAATACATGTCGTAGTTTCTCACTTTTATGACTTGCTTTTTTTGCACGTCGTAAATACTTTTCTAACCATGGCGTGTCTATTGCATAGGCCGTGAATGATAGTAACGATGATTTTTTTGCTGCTTGCAATGCACGCTGTAAATAATAAAACTTTCTACGACGTGCATATAGTGTGCCATTAATATATCAATTATATACGACGCACACACAACGTCTACCGTTAAAAAGTATTGCAATTTTTATTACAAACATTGTATATCATAAATTGTATGATCAAAAACAAAGAAGCGCCAAAATGAAATTTCTGGAGCCAATTCACCAAAAAAACAAAAAAAAATTAGGAAAAAAAATATACATCAAGTGTTTGGGCATCTAATAGATTTTAATCATCAGACACTGGCTCGAAGGGCATCCATTGCCAGTACAACTCTACTTAACAGCGTCGGGCACAGGGAGGGAGATAAAAAATGGTACACACTCATACTCTTCCATTCTCTTCTCTCTCTCTCTCTCTCTCTCTCTCAAATTTTCCCTAAACACTTCTCATTTGGGGCATCTCTCTTTCTCTTTCTTAGATTTGTGAACAAGATTGAGTCAGGCCGAGTCAAGTTACAGAGTTACTCTGACGAGTCGTCGCTCGGGTGGGAGACCAAGTCGAAGACAAGTCAGACCTCGTTTGGGTCAGCAGCAAAGACAAAGCATGGCGACGTCGAGAGGAAGAAAGGAACTCCATGGAGAGAAGAATAACTCAGGTACATTTTCTAGGTTGTTTAGATCCTTCTCTCGGGGTCCAAACAGAGCATCTAGTTATGTACATGAGTTTCTTGATTGAAAATTTTTTTTCCCTCTTTTTATTGTGTTTTATTAAGAAAGGCAATCAATTCTCAATTCTTTCGGGCATATATTATTTTCAGGTGCTTATCTTCTATCTTCTATACTATTATAAAGTGAACAGGAACTTTGGTGTCCTGAAGCTTTACTCTACTCATGCCATGTGGCAGTATTTTTTATTTTTTAAAAAAAAGTTAAACAAAGAGATGGGCAAGGCTTGAACCCATGACCATGGGTTTAAGTACGAGGACTCATACCACTTAAGCTAAGTACATATTATAATATTAATTTCATTATTATTTTCTTTTATTCCTACTTATTTAAATTGCACACACATCGTGTGTGCCACCCACTAGTCTTCTTTAAAATCTCCATATATACATTACCAAACACTCTTGCTCTCTTTCCTTCACTACCTCTGAAAGTGTCTTTGTCACTACCCTGGTCTCTCTCTCTCTCTCTCTCTCTCTCTCTCTCTCTCTCTCTCTCGCAGCCTAAGTAGTATTTAGTTTCACACATGCCCTATAAGCATCAAAAGCCGATTGATTGTTAGGTGTTTGATTAAATTCCCCTTAGAAATCTTGTCTTTTTTTAAAGTTTATTTTATTTTATTTTTATTTTTTATTATTGGAGCGATAGATTGCGTTTTGAACATTATGAACTATTCTGAGAAATTGGTGACCAAAGTCGTGGTATCGTTTTCTCTTTGCTGGATATTTAATCTAATTTTCCAATTCTTCAATGGAAATTTGATTTCTGTAACTGTTTCAAATTTTGTGCAATACTTATTTCATCCTGAAATCCTTAATATTATTGTGACGCATTTGATTTTGCCATCAAATAACATGACACTTTTTTGTTTTGCTTTGGGTATCATTTTTTCTGTATGCACTATATAGCTTACTTTTTTTAATGGTTATGTACATCGGGAATGAATAGCTAATTCAACATGGATTCACTCTCATTTTTAGGCTTGTTTTTAGGGTGGTTGGACTCTTTTTGGAGTAATTACTGAACCATAAATCTGGTTTTCATTAATAAAATAAAATAAAGTCGATGCTAATGCTTACAAAATTCGTTACATTTTTAAAAAGTGATTATCATGATGAGTTTCTTCAAGATTGTGGTTCTTACTAGCATAAAAGTAGAGAATAGGTTCGCATGATTGATACATTATATTCTATAAATGTACACTAATTTAGAAGAATAAAAGTGTCGAGTTGTCCTTGCACGGTTGCCCACTGGTTATGAAACAGTTAAGTCCACCACTGTTCCTTCTAACTTATGTTTGAGCATGGATCTTAAGGTTACTAACACAATACGCCGGAAAAAGTGACTTATAATATTTTCTCACAGTATTTGAACCATTTGTTTTATTTTTTCTTAAAACTGCTTTCTTGGGAGAAAATGGAAGTGGCATCTGTTGAGGGTAGTTTCCTATTTAATTATCGCATGCCACACTACAAGACTCTATTTGGTCTGTGCATGTCTGATGTGGATCACCAATGATTTCCAATAAGACCAATGAGACAACATATTGGTATATGTAAATTTTTTTTCTATTATTCTCCTAAAGTGAGGATATAGTTTAGTAGAAGCGGTTGATCACACCACTAATGATTTTATTGGCTTTCAAGTTGTAGAAAGCAGAAAATAATTAACAAAAATGCTGCCACAGCGAATGAAGAAAGCCATCACCGACAACCCAAAGAAACTCACCAACTTAATTGACCTTGATTGACATTAGTTACTCACTTCAAAAAATGTTGTCACTTCACTTTTGTGTGGTAAAAGAAAATTTCCTTTGACTTATCAAAAATAAAAAATAAATTTCCCTAGATGTGCACTTTACATTTTCAGGAATTTGATAGTGGAAAATTTTTAGGCTATGACAGGTTCATTTTCTCATACTTTAAACATTTGTCTCATTTTCTGCATTATTTTGGAAGGTCCATGTTGTGTTTATTGGTACAATAAATTTACAATGCTTATTGTTAAAAGAATTACAGACAACAATAAATTCACAATGCTTATTGATGGTTTTTATTTCTTCTTCTAGGTTGTTAATGACAAGTCACATCAATTTTTTAGCATTAAATCTCACCCATACAACACACCACTTTAGGAAACTTTAGGAAAAAAAAACTCTAGAGGATCCTTGGTGGGTTGGTTAAAAACTTCATCCCTAATTTTAGTTGTGACAATCATTACCGAGTCCTTTTTTTTCAGGTACCCAACAACTGAAATCTTGTAGCCTCTGTTGCCCTGTGATTTCAAGAAGTAACTGTGAAATTATGTATTAGCATTGCCTTTACATTTTGATCCTGAAGTGATAATATATGGGGTTTTTTTTGCACATTTAGACAAGTTTGGATGGATGCATTACTCTCTCTCTCTCTCTCTCTCTCTCTCTCTCTCTCTCTTTTTATATCCTGACTGAGTTTTTGTTTTCTTGCTCAGGATCCAAATAACAAGAACGTGGTCAATTGTGATAAGAAGTTGAGGAATATTTTGTTGGGTAAACCTCAAGTTGAACTTGCTGAACTTCCTACACTAATCAAGCTGCATTTTCCAAAAGAGGCAAAATGATTTTAACTATTTGAATTGAGGTGCTTATCTTCTTTAAATTCTCCTTATAAACATTACCAAACACTCTTGCTGCTTCACATCGTGATAAATTAATTGGGGAGATATTTTTATGTTCCATTTTGTTACTAGCTAAATGGATTCAGCTTTTGATTTCCATTATATCATTTTTTAGCCAGTTTCTTATTTGAGTTTTTTATTTGGACTTACTGCTTTTCCTTATAATTTCTCAACTCTGCACCCATATTCCATGGCTGATAAGTACTTAAACATCCTAGAGTTGACCTTATTCTTGGCTGATTTTGTGGAATTACCTTCGTAGCATCTCAACTGCCAATTGTTACAAATGCACACATATCTCTCTACATTAGTAGGAACTGAACCCAGGTACACCTGTTGTGCTCTCATATTATTCTAATTTCAGGCCTCCTTAACCACAATGCTGGGGTGGCATTGCACATCTGAAGTAAGTTTGAAGATACAAAAGTTGGTTCTGTTAACTGCAACTGTATCTGCATAATTGTGAGAACTATACAATTTGGGGAACAAAATCTTAATTTATGAATCTAGACTAATTAATTCATATAAATACTAAAAATTTGTCCCGTGTTGAATACAATGTGAGTGCAGAGCTAATTACCTCATTTGGTTAATGTGTAACCCACAGAAGATGATAAATATTAAGTGATTAGTCTTGGTAGAGCCTTTGATTTAATCTTGCTGAATTTTCATTTTATTAAATCTTTTAGAAGCTCAAGTGTTAGCTGGTTGATCTCAGGATGTCGCGGTGGCAAATTCCAACCCAAGCCCAATGTTCAAATTGAGAGAGAAACCTGCTGCTGACACTCTCATCCAGATGCAGTTGAGTCCATTCCATGTCCACAACAAGCTCAGTCAATTCGTTCTGAAATTGAATACATGAACAGGGTTCAAACCTTGCATTCCCATCTAACAATATTGTTGATTTCCCATCCTTGAGGAAATATCCAATATTTTTTTGGATGATTTAGAACATTTTGGACGGTTTAGAACTTATAGATAGTTTTTTATGTTTAGAAACATAGTTTTTAGATGGTTTGGAATGTATAGATAGTTTTTGGATATTTAGAACTTATTGATAGTTTTTTATGGATGTTTGAAACAATATTTTGGTGTTTGATTGATGTTTTGTGATGCTTGTTTGTAATATTTGTTAGATTGTACAAAATTGGTCAAATAGAACCTGCTGAATTTAAAAATATTAAAAAAAAAATTGCATATTCTACGGTAGGCATAATAAGTCGTTGTATTACATATTTTACGACACGCAATCAGCATCATTATTTGTCTCACCAAATAACGACGTACAAAAGTAGTCGTAGAAAAAATAATAATGACGCACAAAATCTGTCATTAAATAGTTTTTAATGGCATACTATAGCATGTAGTAGAAAAAGTAATAACGGCGTACGAAGCATTTCGTTGAAAGTGAATAACTTTTCATGACTGGTTATAATATGACGCGCGCTACACGTCGTATGCACGCTGTAAAAACCCTTTTTTTTTGTAGTGTAATGCAATGGAGAATGCAAGAAATGTAGATGAAAATGAATCATTCGAGGCAAGAATTGCAAGATTGGAAAGAATGGTTGAACTCTTGACTGAAGCTCTAAGACAACAACAAAACCAATAGCCCCCACCTCCTCCTCCGCCACCAGTATAACCTGAACCAAATGCCAATGATGATTTATTGCCTTAACACAAAAGTTTAACAAAATGAAGCCATCAACATTCCAGGGAGGACTGGAACCACTGAAAGCTGAGGCATGAATCCTAGAAATCGAAAAGTTGTTTGAAGTGTTTCCATGTTCAGAGGCACAGAAAGTGTTGTTGGCTACTTATACTTTACAAGAGGAGGCAAGGTGATGGTGGATTCTTGTGCATGAAAGTAACAATACTATGATTTGGGCTCAATTTAAGGAAGTGTTCTATAATAAATACTTTCCTTAATGTGTTCGTGACCGCAAAGTATCCGAGTTTAGGGAATTAAAGTAGGGTACCATGTCCATGGCCGAATATGAGGAAAAATTTACTAAGCTTGTACATTATGCACGACACATGGTAAATACTGACTACAAAAGGCTTAAAAATTTGAGGGAGGACTTACTGTGGAGATACTCTGAAATTAATCAAGTATGTGGATGTCTTTGACCGAGCTATCATGGCTGATGCAAACATTGTAGCCTTGAAGCAAGCTAAGACGTTGGTGACTAAATGGCGAGGTAAGAGACAAAGTTTTAATTTCAAAAAGGGCCGGAACAACTCACAGAGTAAGAAACAGAATACATGGTCAACTAGTAGTTCCAGTCAGGGGAACAATTCTAGACCACCTTGTCTAGAATGTGGCAGAAGACATAAAGGGGTTTGTTACAAAATTTATGGGGCATGTTACAGGTGTGACAAGGTGGGCCACATAGTTAAAGATTGTCCTTTCGCATCGCAAGGCACTAGTAGAGCCGTAGCAAGAGCTGCAGCATCAATCGCTACACCAAAACCCAATCCTAAAGCTACCAGGAGAGAAACCTTAAGGCAAGGTCGGGTGTTTGCACTTGTACTAAGGGATGTGCAGAACACTGAGATAGTGGTGTCAGGTATACTCCCTATTTGTGCTCAAAATGCTTATATTTTGATTAACTCAGGGTCTACGCATTCATTTGTCTCGTATGCTTTTTCAAGAAAATTATCTAGACTACTGCAATTCATGAATTATTTATTAGCTGTGTCTTCACCTATTGGGAGATCCATGACTTGTGCTTACGTGTATCCTGCATGTGAGATTGTTATTGAGGATGTGATTTTATATGTTGATTTGTTGCCTGTGAATCTTGATCACTTTGATATAATTTGGAGATGGACTGGTTAACAAAATATCATGCCTCCATTGATTATGCAACAAAACAAGTCATTTTTCGTCCACCTAGATTGCCTGAATTTATATTTAACAGAGATGGTGTCGTACCTCCCCCGTATTTGATTTCATTTATGAAAGCATACAAATTGCTTAGAAAATGGTGTAAAGGATATTTGTGTTATATATTGACTGTGCTTACTGATGATAAGGCTACTGTGGACAGTATTCTTATAGTCAAAGAATTCCCATATGTGTTTCCAGATGATTTGCCAAGGGATTTGATTAATAGGGAGATTGAGTTCACTATTGAGGTAATACATGGTACACAACAAATTTCCATGCTCCATACTGAATGGCAAATACTGAATTGCTCCATACTAAATGGCACCTACTAAATTGAAAGAGTTAAAAATCTAGTTACAAGAGTTGTTGGACAAGAAATTTATCAGGCCTAGTACATCACCGTGGGGCACTCCAGTCTTATTTGAGAAAAAGAAAGATGGTTCATTGAGACTTTGCATAGACTACTGTGAGCTGAACAAGTTGATAGTGAAGAACAAGTATTCGTTGCCTCGCATTGATGATTTATTTGACCAATTGCAAGGTGCTCAAGTCTTTTCCAAAATTGATCTTAGATCGGGATACCACCAATTAAAAGTCAAAGCCAAAAAAGACTGTGTTCTGAACAAGGTAAGGACATTATGAATTTCTTGTTATGCCTTTCAGAGTTACTAATGTGCCTACTGCATTTATAGATCTTATGAACAGAATTTTCATGCCATTCCTAGATGAGTTTGTGGTTGTTTTTATAGATGACATTTTGATTTATTCCAAAAGTACAGAGGAACATGAACATCATTTAAGAATTTCTTTGAAAACCTTGAGAGAGAAGAAATTATATGCAAAGCTGACAAAGAGTGAATTCTGGCTTGATAGTGTTATGTTTTTGGGACATGTTGTCACGACCTAAACCCGCCCCTATGGGTTAGGGCCATAACCGGCCAGTAATCACGAGATTACCTACGGCCTCAAATCAAACCTTTCAAAACTCTTCAGAGTAAAAGGGGCCAAACGGAAGCAAATTTAAAACTTTGTCCACAGAGCCGTACTTATATGCACATCATAACATTCCATACATACATACGTTAATAACTCACAACATAAAGTATAGTAACATAAAGTTTTATACAGTCAGGATCATTCAAATCTAAGTCAGCTAAAACAAAGTTATATACAGACGTACACGAAAGTCCTCGCCAACATGACAGAAGGGCGAAGACGTGTCTCGTGCGTGAGACGCAAGGGCTGACTTTTCAAAACCTTAGTTGTTCCACACAGACTTCACTGGGGCTGGGTTTGGACTTCTCTTGGCTCACCTACAAACACATGAATGAGCGTGAGCGAAAGCCAAGTGAATAATATCAAATAAAGAATATATATTGGAACAATATACAACAAACGGCCTTGGGCCCAATTTCTATTTCTACTAACACATACATACATAGACATATGTAAGTTAAGTAACTGCGGTTCCAAACACATCATACGGCCTTGGGCCCAATTCATTAGTGTCAAACTGTTATTCGTGTCAAACTATTATTTGTGTCAAACTAGCCTTTGGCCTTTTCAAACTTCCATATCAAACTGACCTTTAAGTCTTTCAAACTTTCATATCAAACTGGCCTTTAGGCCTTTCAAACTTTCATTCATGTCAAACTGGCCTCTAGCCCATTTATGCATGTTAAACTGGCCTCTGGCCTATTCATGCATGTCAAATTGGCCTCTGGCCCATTCATGCATGTCAAACTTTCATTTATGTCAAAACGGCCTTTGGCCCAACCATTTATGTCAATCGACCTTCGGCCCAATCATTCATGTCAATCAACCTTCGGCCCAATCATTTATGTCAATCGGCCTTCGGCCCAATCATTTATTCTTGTCAAAACGGCCTTCGGCCCATTCATTCATTCTTATCAAAACGGCCTCTAACCCATTCATTTAGTATAACGACCATTGTCCACCAAACGAATCAATGAACTTATAAAACTTACATAGAAGTAAGCAATTTGGACAACTACATATTTCAGATATCAGATATTACTCACAGTGATCGGCTTGTGGATTTGCCCTGGAGCTTGACCCTACACATCATATAACACATATGGGTCACAAATCAATCAATCTGTTCTTTAATTCACATATTCCTCTTTAGGTTTCATTCTTATCTCTTTAATTCAATTACAATGCCCAATGTATGCCTAAGAGTGCTTAGAAGTGAAAGGGAACGGAAAACGAAACACAGAACGATCACACAAAATTTTCAGAAACAGGGTCCCCGCTCGAGCGGACCCATGAGGTCTGCAAAAGTACTGGTTATGTCATTTTTACGCTCGAGCGTGGAACTTGGACGCTCGAGCAGAAGTCCATCCTACATAGCTCCCCGCTCGAGCGTGGACTTCCCCGCTCGAGCGGACATCATGGTCTGCAGAAAATACTGAGAGCATGAAATTCACGCTCAAGCGGCGGTTTCCTCGCTCGAGCGGACATCAAATTTTTGGGTTTTCCAGAATGTGTTCTTGAGCTCAAATTCAACATTCCAACCACATTTATTTCATATGATGGCTCAAATCTCACATATGCTTGTACTAGCATGGTACAAACACTAAATTACAACATAATGGAGCTCAATTTCACAAAATAATCACATGCATGGCTTAAATTACATCAAACTCATTTTCATCATAACACATTCATGTATTCAAAGCTCCTATCCTCATAAATTGTACATGCATGTGATGTATTACTCTCATCTTCAACTTAGATGATACAAATGGTGATCATAACATGAGCTTTAACCAAAACTCTACATGAATCATGTATTTCAAGCTCAAACATGCAAATTCAAAACAATTTCTTACATGCATGCACATATTGGCTCTCAATTCAACAAAACCAATTCAATTACACTTCAATCCTTACTCTTGATCATTAATCAACTTTGAATACACAAAATTACACATTAAACTCATGGATTTACTCACCTAGGAGCTTTAAACACCCAAGTTCTAGCCAATTCTTGAGTTCAATCTTCAAATTCCCAAGCTTAAGCCAGAAATTGCACAAGTCTCTCCCTCTCTCTCTCTATGGCCAGCCCTCTCTCTTTCACAATTGTATAACTCAGATTTTTTTGAGTTCAATAGAAGTAAGGGAGAGTGTATTAAGGCCACCACTCAACACAATATAATAATAATAAT